AATGAATCCGTCGAATTAATTCAAACGAACAGATAAGCAAACAACCAAACTAAACTAAAAAAAAAGAGATGCCCTAAACGTCACTACCTGTGAATGCTTGATAATCGCTCCAAGTTTCTTCCAAACCCAAATGTGGAATTCGTAAAAAACGTGCGTAAATGCCATCGATCAGAAGATGATGCTTTTCGGCCTGTTCACCGCTCAACGAACGCAGAATCATTTTCTCAAAATCCAAATAGATATTCCAAATTGTTGACGCACAATCCGCTCGACATCCTATCAAACCAATTGCTTCGTCCATTTTCTGCAACAAACAAACACACACATTTTACAAACAAACAAACTGCTGTCGTTAACGCCACAGAAATGACGCCTCTCTCATTTCATCATTTGATTTTTTTTCAGTGTCAAATGAAATAATCAAAAATTTTCACGTTCCGAAATATTTTCAGTCAATTTCTAACACTATACATTCACAGTTTGCGTGTTTGCTCAAAGTCAAACTATACAGGCAAATCAAAAAGTCATCAACTCAATGCCCGTCGAGCGAAACCGAAACACGGTTTCTCAATTTGCCTTCCGGTGACCACTGTGAATTTTCGAATCGATTTGTTAGAATGTCTGCCGATTGGTCATCACAAGAAACAAAAAACTATTCTATTGTGGTGTTGTGCTTCAATTTGAACCTTTCTGATCAGTTTCAAATCAAGAAACAAAAACATCATTGGCTTTTCAAAAGCTAAATCTACTCAAGCACCTTTCTCGCGAACTCTATCGACACACCGCACGCCCACTGAACATATTCTATGATAACGTCGGGTGAGTGAAAATCTTTAATGGCTCGATCGAATATGGACTCGATCAAATCTCGCTCGGATTCACACGTTTTCTCGTCACTGAAACACTCTATCGATGAAANGTTTAACAAATATTCACGCCTAATACCACTTCAAATCAGTTCCCAAAACAATCCATAAAGATACCGGGAAACTGGAAGGTTCTGAATTCAAAAGATTCTTGGTAAGTTTCCCCAGATGACCATGTATGAACTTAACTAGATCAGACACCATCTTTTAAAAAAGAGTATCAGCATTTCATTTTCTTCAAGTTGCTCACTTCTCAATTCACATCAGCTTTCAAAACTTAATTTTTCTTCAAATTAAAAAAATACAACTTGTCTTTAGAAACACCCTCGAAATCTCGAAACCACAGATGCCGATGGTCATCCTCATCTGATGGGCATAACAGACCAAATCCCTACGGTATATTTCAGCCGCTCAATCCGTATGCTACATACGGCATTCACTCGATATTTCACTTGAACGTGAACAAATCTGACGGCAACAACAACAACAACAACAAAACAAAACGAAATCTTCCTACTCGATCCACTCCATCCAAAATTTCGGTGGCATCGCGAACCGTCTCGACGTCGACTCTCGCTGTGTTCGAAGTGCCTCCAGCTCTCCGGCACCCCGCAACAACGTGATCAGTTCCATATTCTTATTGTAATCGTTCGGATTTGCACTCACCTCAAACATTATTTCATTGCAACCAGAAACTCCATTGCAGAACAATCGTCGA